CAGTGCTCAATGTCCCACTCCCATCCCACTGCAAAATTACCTTCCCCACACAGGAGGCAGGACATGCATTTATATCGCACCTCTGCCTGGGGGGGCAGGGTCATCTAGCTTTGTGTATAGTCTACGGTCCTTACTTAACGAAATGCGAAATACTAACCAAGATGGCTAATGGCAGTCACTGATGACCAAAGGCGGTGCATTTTATTCCCTGTGCCCTCTGAGCCAAACAGAGAGGCCGAAACAGAAATAGCTCGGCAAAAAACTCAACAGCATCTGTTGAGGAAAGTGGAGTTAACGTTTCGAATCCACTGACCCTTCTTCAGAAGCGAGGGCCAAGTTCATCATTCAGACCCTGAGGAAGTCAACTTCCCAGAATTGTGTATTCTTGTCTGAAGGGCCAGGAGCAACGTTCCTACCAATGATACTTTTTTCTGCTGTTTTACATTTGTTTACTTTGGAGGAATCCTGTAGATAATGCTAAAATGTTCCCTAATAGTGAGGATGCTATGTGCCTATGTGCACTGCCAGCAAAGTCTGAGTTGAGCAATTCATGCCAAATGATAATTGAATTGCATTTTAATGCACAGCTAATCTGATATTTGATAAGAGCAGACAGATGTCTGGATCAGAGGCTTCTGTGATATCATGCCTAGTTTCTGCAATTCACCAATGTGTCACTGGGGACCCACAGTCTGCTGCAAAACTCAGCAACGTTGTCCCAGGTAATGGGTGCTGTATTTTGATAGTGTGAGATGTCTGTTCCAAGACAGCACTAACATTCACAAGCAGAGAGATGGCAAAACTGTTCCAGAGGCAAAAGCCAAGATCATGGGGCCTCTGCATTGTGTCAATTGAAAAGCTACATAAGTTTCAGATGAGAAGGACTCCCTGTGTAGCCCAAAACCCTCTGCACAGCAGCAGTAAACAAGGCAGCACGTGTACATTATGCCCACATTCTGTAACAATTGTGTGAATGCGCTCTGAATTCAGCATTTAGATTCAACCTGGTCCAGCATGATGCTCCTTGGTATTTAGGCCCAAGTTACCCAGTCTCCAGGTAATCACAGACTGGACATATCCTGACACACATCTTTCAGGAAGGTCAACTGCTAACTGCCCAATAAATGTAAGTTTCTGTTAATTACCCAGCTTTTGGTAGCCCCCAAAAGTCTCCATCTCTCAAATATTGGAGGGTTTTGATGAACTCTTCTTTATAGTTAGTCAGAAATGGTTACAGGGATTAAAATCTGCTCCAGCTTCTAACCAACTATAAAAGTGATTATCCCCCTCTTTACTTTTCTCTCTGTACTCACCCTTCAGGCATCTCTCAGCCTGGACTGTCACCTGCCTTCCTGACACCCAAACCCAATCCCCACCCCCTTCACCCACTGACCTTCTCAAAGAAGCTGTAGCCCTGTAAGCTCCGTAATACGAAAGTAACCGTGAGAAGCAGGTTTAGCTCGAAGCAGTGCTGAGGAAGGCTTCCTGAACCACTCTGTTCTGCACATGTGAAGTGCCAGATTGGAAATCCTGGTCCGAAACAGGGTGGGGAGAAACAAATGGAGCAGCTATGCTTGCTCCTCCTGGGAAGGTTCGATCCTCAAAGATTGAACATGTGAGTGCCAGGGTTTGAGTCAGCACGAGGTGTCTATCACCCACTGAAAATCTCTTCATTTGCTGAGCCTTAACAGCCCAGCATGACCATTATTATTTAAAAGGCCAAGTCAGTGTTTGGTTTCTTTATGTGGATTAATTTCCGATTGTACTTTTTTTTTTTAAAATCAACATACTTCCTCATCTTTAAATTCACCCATCAGAACATCAGAAGTATGAGCAGGAGGCCATTCAGTAAGATCACAGCTGACTGATGTGACCTTAATTCCACTTTGCTGCCTTCTTCCATCATCTGTGATTCCATTGGCTAATAAAAATCTTTCTAACTTCAGCCTTTAATCAAACACACTGGACTGCTCTTCGGGGAAGATAATTCCCAATACTAGCCACCCTCAGAATTAGCAACTTCTGCTCTCAGAGTCTTTAAAAAAGAGACTCCATAATTGGAAACGGTGCTCCCCCCGACCCTTGTTCTAAGATCTCCCACACCTTTTCAGCTTACACTGACCAGCCCATTCAGAATCTTGTTTGTTTCAAAAAGGTTCTCCCTCGTTCTTCTAACTGCCCAATGAATTAAGACACCTATTAATACAACCTTCCTTAGAGACAGCTCGAGGCTACTGGGGAAGAAAAACCACCCACAATCACCTTTGCCATCCTGAATGTTTTCACCCACCTGGATCTCGCAGGCGTCTGTCAAAATTCCCAATTGTTTACTACATGGCAATCTCAACGTTTCTGTAAGACTTTGGACACCTATTAGTTTCTGCAATTTTAAGTTCCACATTATGGGCTTTTATGAACAGGAGAAACACCTTACAGCCAAACAGTCTGGGCCCTCCAATATCCAATCCAGCCAGACACCCAAGCTTGATGTCCGGTAGACTGTAGCACAGGTAACATGGCCTCCTTTAGTTTACTTTAAAGGTAAAGACACAACCTCAAAACATAATCTTATAAATTCGGTCGTATCAAAGAAAATAGTCAGGTTCAATTGAAATCAAAACACTTCGAAATAGTTAAGGATGAAAAGAAATAACTTCTGCTACCTAATTATTCCCATCCAGGAAATGAATATCCTTTAAATCTTCCCCAATATGATCTCATCTGAATGCTAAGACAAATATTTGAATAAATAAATGCTCCTAATAATCGTTTAGAAGCTGCCGTAAAATTTGAAATAATGCTCTCATCTTCTACAATTGATAGTAACAGTTTCTGCTGAATCTCCTTACAAATCATGATCCAACCGCACTGCACCCTCTGTTGTGTGTTCCCTTTGGAAATGTTGTGTTTTCTGACAGGATGAATGCAGGGAGTCCAAAACCAGAGGCCACAGGGTAGGCTATTTAAGACTGAGCTGAGGAGACGTTTCTTCGAGGGAGAGCGGTGAGCCTGTCAAATTCTCTGCCACCAAGTGGTCAAGGACAAATCGTTGAGTGTTTTCAAGAAGGAGTTAGATAGTTCTTCAGGTCAAAGGGACAAAAGGTTGTAGGGAGAAAGTGGGAACAGGATGCTGTTTGGATTGGCACGCTTCTAGGCCCAATAGCTACTCTTGCTCCTTTTTTTAATGAGCACAGTCCCAATGAAAATGGCAACATAGCATTTACTTTCTCAGATTGCTTCACCAGGAGCAATGCCCTGAGCCCTGAGTTTGGATGTGAGAAGTCACTGGTCACTTCTATCTTTAGTTAAAGAATTGCTCATCGCAAGTATACAATGTGAAAAATTTAACATTTGAGGTCTGCAGCTCTTTGAGCATTTGACTGAGATAGTGGGAGACTCAATTATCCCATAAATCTAGAGTACACCGTAGACATACATCAAAACACATGGATGGTGCTGCTAAAATAATTTGCTGGCTTTGTCTGCTTTAACCTCCAGGGTTACAATTCCCCTTTTGCCACCTTAGTCAGATCGCCGAGCTCCACTGGCTCAGAAGGACGAGGTGAGAAACTCCTGAATGATGAAGATTCGACTTCTCTCATTCCGACCTACCTTAACTCTCTGAAGAAGCTGATTGTGGACTGACTCGCAGAAGAAACGGCCATATCTCCTGCACAAACTGTTCCTGGGAAATACCACATACAGGCGAGAAAGGCAGCCAACACTGACCACTGAAGCAACCTCCCACAAACTGCTGTGGACAGCTTGCCATTGTTAACTGGACATCCACACTGGTAGGAGTATGAAATAAACCCATCTTACAAAGTGACATTTCATCAAAGTTGTTTTAGAAAATGTAATTTCCATATGTAATTGCTCGTTTGACGAGACGTAATGTACCGTGTTTGTATGGTTGATTGGGAGCAGTGGGTCATGGATGCTGTTGACACTGTATTGATCGGCACCAATAGATCAGGCATTTTTCCATATCTGCTGATCAAAGCCAGATCAATGATGAACTAACTTCGAGTTTACTTGATCAGTCAGATTGGTTAATAATAGACTGTTGTTAAACCTCCATCACCTTTTCTAAATTCCAGTTGTGGTCTGCCATGTTTTAACTCTGTGTTTCAGAGATTAGTTCTTAGGTTCCCAGGTAGATTCTTCAGTGACTTTCAAAGTGCCGATTTGTATTTCAAAGCCACACTGTCGTAAAATGTTGAGATTTTAAACAATTGTATCCCTCTATGTCTGAGAATTGCATTATATTTATATATTATATATAAATGGTGGACTGCTTGGTTGAATCTGTAGTACAGCTTTAAATTGGCCTATAATTGCAGATGGAATTCTCCGTAGCGAGTCCTTATTTTACTCTATAACATCCTATACTTTTTGTGTAATCAGTGGTGATTGTGAATATATTATTGTGCATTTTAAAATATAATAAACCAATCTAATCTTCTTAGAATGGAATTATTTTTTGAGGAAGGGAGCAGCTGTTTTTGATAATGAAGTTAGGGCTGTGCATTATAATGTACCGTTGATACAAGTCACTGTTAATTTTCAGTGTTTGGTTAACAAGAGCGTGATGTTTGGGCTAAGTATCAAAAGGCATCAAAGGGAAAATATCCTCGGTTTCTGCCTGAGAGTGTTTGGAGATTTTGGAGATTGGGAGCCTGAAGTCTAAAGACCCATTTTTAAATCCCCAGGGATTATGACTGTTGACTTTGTGACAAAAGGTGTTATGGAGTACACAGCAACACTAGGGGATAATTGAGGCTAAAAACAGAGCTCAGTGAGTGCTTTACTGGTTCAGTTTTAGATTCTAGCTTAGTGTCAAAGGAGTTGAAATCTTAAGCTGGAGAGGGTTCACGTTATAGGATAGGCTGGGCCTTTCTTTCACTGGAGCATAGGACGTTGAAAGGGGGAGCTTAAATCACAAGGAACATGGAAAAGGTGAATGCCAGATGTCTTTTTCCTATGATGGGGGATTTCAAGACTAGTGGGCGTATATTTAAGGTGAGAGGAGAACTTTTTTTCTTTACAGACGGTGGTTCGTGTGTGGATGGAGGCACAGTTTCAATATTTAAACGATATTTAGGAATATGAACCAAGTGGGACTAGTTTTGTTTGGGATTATGGTTGACGTGGACTGGTTGGACCTAACGGTCTGTTTCCATGCTGTATGACTCAATCTACAAGAGTGAGCTACATTTGGCAACTGGGGTGTTAACACTGATCGTGCTGGCTCTTAATTTGTCAGCATTTTGCTGTACAACTGCCAGAGTTTCTCTGGATAAATGCAATGAGATGTCTAGTTCGAACTTTTGCCAACCTGATGAATAAAGGTCTGAGTAAACATCAAAGTTCAGTATCAACAAGCCACACCAGCGATTGAGATGCACTTTGTCAATAAGATGGAGGAACATACGCTGGTTTTGCAAAATTGTATTGCAGACTTGTAAACAAGCCTTTCCCATTAGCGATTGCAATCTGCATAGCTGAGAATGTTTGATGGCACTTATAGTTCAGGTTACTGTGAAATATGAATTGTATGTAACAAAACCCAGAGATGTTTAAAGCAGACATTGCAAGCATCTATTGCAGCACACTTGCAGGCAATGTTTCAACAAGATGTCATTTATTATATGGAAAACATTCAGGTTTTAGCAGCTATAGCCTTTCAATGAAAAAAGTTGCTTTTATGATGTGAATGTTTTAATAACTATCAATTTAACTAGATAGAACATGTATCACAACTTGCACAATATTCAAAGCAACATACACAGTGTTAAATAGGAACCATTATATTGCTGTAAATACAGCTTGGTCAAATTCATTTTGGGGTACTTACACATGAAAACTTCTTGGATCGTAAGCCTCATCGTCAATGATTGCTGTTTTATGGAAAACTATGAAACCCCTGTTATACAGTACCTCGTAGAATTTCAATTATATACAGAATATCTGTGCCACAGTAACAATACCACTGGATCATGAAACCCAAAGGGTAAAGCTATGCAAATAGCAATTCTGTTTATTAAAGTTGTGAATGTTAATACCAACCCCCAATATACATTGACAAAATGCTCCAAAGTAAATTTTCCTGTAAACTGTTAATTGTGTATTATTTTTAAATGATGTTTTCATTATTTAAAGAAAAGCACAGAATAGCAGCAGTGCTGTGTCCTCAGAAGCCAACAAACAATAATGGGTACAAAGTTGCATACTCATTGAACGAGGGCACTCGGAATACACTCACCTGTCTACCAGCCTGCTACTTTAACTGATTGGCATCAGCAAGTTTGGAAGCAGCGCAATGTAACATTTCCTTCTGGAAATCTGCTCTATCCTTTGGAAGCCGGAGTACACCTTTGTTAGTGTAATCTACGTTTCCAAAGGACAAAGGAACATCTCCATGCTCTAAACTCTTCTATCAACACATCCCTTCTCAGGCAAAGGGTGAGAAAGCCACCAGATAATTAAAATTGTACTAACCAAAGATAGTTGCAGCAGAAATTTTCCTCAAAACATTGATTAGTGAACGTTACTTATTTGAGATATTGTTACCCACAGAGAAACTGAACAAGTCTGACTGGAAGATTGTTCAAGAGAAGTGAATTGAGTGTAAATGAAAGACCCCTCTGTGGCATTTCCCAGGTTGTACACTTTTCTCAAGTGTAAGGTGAAATGATTTGGAAAGAGCTACAGAAAGCGTGTGATAAACTATCCAATCATCCACAGAGTAAAAAGGAGCAATCACTGTGGTAACAAACTCCAACCAAGGCAGTAGGGAATGCAAGTTATCTTTCTGCAGTAGATTAATTTGAACCTTCAGTACTCGACCTGTCAGAGTCCTGCCATTGTGAATTCAATTTGGAGCTTTTACCTCAGCCAGGGTCCCTGTAAAAATGGACTTCAGAGAGATCTGGAACTAGAAGGCCTGACTTGAACTCACTCAAATCAGAATTAAAACTCATGCACAGAATTCCAATCTCTTTGAACATTTGGTGATTTTTTTTTATATTCACAATTTTCCAAGGAGCAATAACTAGTTCATGACGCACTGCACACACTCACCAAACTTCATAGCCTTTCATTAAAATGTACTAGATCATCAATTTTGCAAGTTATTACAACCTCCCTGCATCCTTTGTACTCAGATTAGTCTGTGACTACCCTTAATGTGGTCAGCTACTAAGCACGGTCTCTGGCTAACTTGTATGGTGAGGTGAAATTCAGGAGAAATAAAAGATTGGAACTCTAACCAAAGTTAAACTGGTTTTCAAGTGAAAGTTCCCATTTTGATCAAAGAACAACCACATTGCACTATATGTTGGAATGTAAGGAGTGTGGGGGACGGAGAAGGTGGAATCACCAACAGCAAAGCACTCTTGTGTATATATACATGCTTAGCATGCAAAAGAAAGCTTTTCCACCATTGCTGGTGAATAGGCAGTTTGATTTGCAAGAAAACTCCTATTAGCACAAAGAAAACAAACTGCTTATTAAAGTTGACACAGATGGCTAAATATTTAAACTTTTTTTTTTGTTCCATGAAGACAAAAGGCACTGGGTTATGAGCTTGTACTTGTAACTTCCATTGCACTTCGTATCCTCGACTCAATCCATTCATTTGAAGACCAGCAAAATCTAACTGCTCAGTCAATGCCTGTGAGGGGGAAATGTAACTATAGCCCTCTATGGGCTCGTTCTCTTATAATTCCATGTCCACAGGCCGGATGTGGCCCGTCTTGTGCTCTTTTACCCATAATTCTCGATCACTGTTGGGGTCGACCTTCCGAAGTAGCTTGTCCACTGGTTCAATGGTCTAGAAATGAAGAGGAAAACAAAAACAGTATGAAACACTGCTAGACTTGAAAATGACATCACTCAATAACAGGTCATTTGAACCCTTCATGCTGCAAAGACTTGGAATGTGAACTCTACTTTGTCCACAGATGCTGTTAGATCAGAATGTCTTGCTGCTTTTGTTGTTTAGGATTCTGGGACCTGCAGTATTTAGATTCTGTACTGGGGAATCTTTTATGACTTTTAATTGAACCACATAAAATACAAGATGCATCGTCCAGGTCTACCTTGACCTTTGTTGTTCCCCTGGAATGTAGCCAATAGTAAGAGAGTTGAGAAAGAATGATCGAAGACAAAAGGTAAACTGACAGACTTGGTTAGGTGATGGCAAAGCCTGGATTTGAAAAGCTGGAGTTGGGAGAAATCAACATCAAAATGGAGGTTAAAAAGTTGTATGGCTCTGCAACCAGGAGTCACGTGCACCAGATGGTTTTGATGATGTAAGGGAGGCGAGACTGTTTGTCTAACAGTGTATCTATTGTATATTATCCTCCAAATAAAGTCTTGTGGCATAGTAAGTGGCATTACTGTATTAGATTCAAGTCCCTCTAGGACATAATGCCCATGGAAGTTGCACTCAGAACACAGAACACAGCCAAACAAACTACTGATCCTTCCAACCACCTACCATTGGTCTGATCGGTCATCAACAGCCTTACCACTGACCAGAAACTGAACTCGATTCACTAAGAGCAGAGGAGGCTAGGAATCCTGCAACGAGCAACTCACTCCTGGCTCCCAAAGCCTGTCCACCAACTTCAAGGGACAAGTCAGGAGTGTGATGGAATACTCTCCCACTTTCCTGGATGAGTGCAGCTCCAACAACATTCGAGAAGCTTGACACCATCCAGGACAAAACTGCCCACGTGACCGTTTGTGGATGTAATACCAGTCACTCCTTCCACCACCTCAATAACAGCAGTGTGTACCATTTACAAGATGCACTGCAGAAATTCACCAAGACTCCTTAGACAGTACCTTTCAAACCCACAATTTCAAACCACAAACCAGAAGGTCAAGTACACAGATACATGGGAACACCACCACCTGCAAGTTCCCTATTCTGAGTTGGAAAGATATCACCGTTCCTTCAGTGTCACTGGGTCAAAATCCCAGAATTCTCGTCCTAATGGTACTGTTGGTCTACCTACACCAGATGGATCGACAGTTCACCACCACCGTCTTCTCAAAGTCAATTAGCAGCACTCACATCCCATAAATTAATAATTTTATCGTGACCTGTGGCTCTGGACCACACTATGCACGTAACTGGCACACAGCAGCCTAGACTCGTTGGCGGTTCAGCATTGATTAAACTGATGCCAACAGCACAGGGTTCGATCCCCATTCCAAGTGGGGTTCTCTATTCATTGGCAGAGAACCGACGCAAAAGTGGAAATGCTATAGATATCTTCCCGACGAACTAAAACAGCACCACCTTGTATATTCAGAAAGTCTCCTACATGCTAAACTGGACAGGCTTTTAGAGACAGTTACTTTAATGGTTACCTCCTCCCACAGAGATATTCAGGAGTTGCTGAATCTACATTTCATCCTGAGGGGGTAAAAAACCTGACCATTCAATCTTACAATAGCCACAAACATTAAGCAAACTTCCTCTCTGACTATCTGCCATTACTTGAAAGTTGAAGTGAGCGAGGGCTGAATAAATTACTTCATTTGTGGTTCTGCATTCAGCTTTTTTCATAAATGTAACTGTTTGGGTGCCTGGCTTAAACAACTGCCTTTCTTAAAAACACAGTGGACAGCAAAGGGAGCCTTTCCTCAGTATTGACTGGCAAGTCAGTGGCTAACCTCAACTGTTAAATCTTCAGTGCTTTACCATAATGGTTAATGATGCCAGCGTCTTACGGTCAGGTCAAAAGAGATATAGCTTTATCTGCATGAGCTCAATGAAGTGAAGCTAAAACAGAGCCACAACTAACAGGACGAGCAAAACCTCAGTCAGAAATTTATTTAATCAGGTAGGCAGTTCATTAAGTGAAATTAATTTAACACCCAAAGACTATGGAAAATATTTTTTATATTATGATAGACCCAGGAGCTGATAGCAATATGCTGGGCATAAATGTGTCAAACCATTCAGGTGGTTGGGTGTGACTATTTGGAAATACTATTTCCATAAAACCTTAAATAAAGGGCCACAGGATGTTTATCTACAATTTAGTGAAGGGAAATCTTATCGGTAACTCAGCCTGAAATAATATTTTCTCTTAATGAGCGAGCAGTAGGCCCCCCTAAATAATGAAAAACTCTGGAAAATTGACTCACCCAAATACCCTCTCAAGAGAATTCTACAAAGGTTCGTCACCTGGGCATCTTGGTAAACAGCGGGGAGAAGTCCTATTTAGTCCAACATGACTGGTTCACCATGCATCAAGGCAGTTCCACATGACCCAAGCCCCCGGTACTGGGTGTCAACAAAGAGTGGGGTGATGAGGTATAAGTAGACTATATTTGGAAGAGAAGTATAGTAACTCTCCACGTGGTCATTAAATATCCTCTACAGCACCTTTTCCCAAAGGCTTTCCCAGTATGACTGTATTATATTGCCTCAAACTTAGCATTAGCCTAGGAAGGGGCGTGGAGGAGCAAGGCAGAGCTGGCTGAAGAAGTTCATGATGATAGAAGTTATTTACACTGCAGGCTTTTAGAAAAGGAAGTTCTACCTTCCACCATTCACTTTGCAGCAGCAGCCAGGCCTTGAAGATTTGTCCACTAGGCCACACGCACCAATAAAAAAAAACATTAAGATTAAGAGAGGCCTCTCCGTTGTTGACATTCAATCCAAGCTCCAGGGCAACCTTTGGTGCCCTGAGACTCATGACCCCAAAATTTTATCTCGTGACCTCCGGGGGGGTCGTGACCCATAGTTCAGGAAGTCCTGGTCTACAATCACTTAACAAGCAGAATTCGTCAGCTGGGGATCTCTGACCGAAAGAAAAATGCACAATTATACCACGAGCAAGAAAGCAGAGTTTTATATACAGATGGACCACCTTCCCACAGTCCTGTTTGTTAATATTTCTTCTGCAAGAGGACTTCTAATAACAAAAAAAGAAAAGAAACAAAAATTGAAATGGCTGGAGAAGCTCAGGTCTGGTAGCATCTGTGGACAGAAAGTAGAGTTAACATTTCCGGTCCAGTGACCCTTTGTCAGATCAGCAAGGATCACTGGACCCAAAATGTTTACTTTGTTTTCTCTCCACAGACCTGCTGAGTTTTTCTGTCAATGTCTGTTTTTGTTCCTGATTTCCAGTTTTCGCAGTCTTCTGGTTTTCTTTAAAAATAGTTTTGGGTGTCTGACAAGTTTAGGTTTAGAAGTTAGGATCAAAATGAGTCTTAGAAGACACTGAAACATCCGGGAGCAGTGTTAATGTGGCAGTGACCACAATGATAATAATCCCATTGCCCTTCTTCTTTCTGGGACACATTTTTCTTCAATTCCCTTTGGTCCAAGACGGAGGAATGTTGGACCAAGAAAAAGAGAATGCTGGAGACACTCAGCAGGTCTGGCAGCATCTGTGGAGAAACACAGTTAACGTTATGGGTCCAGTGTAACTTCTTCAAAATTGAAGAAAAGTAATACCAGACTTGACATGATTTCCAGCATCCGCAGCATTTTGCTTTTTAGGAATGGAAACTTGGATGCTTATGAGCGTATTCACTCTACGTTTAATGCTTATTACATGCAAGGTCATTTTATTCAAAGAATGCAGGAAAGTAAGTAAAAAGAATTTCCACTGGTCACTGGAAATTGTACTTGGAGAATCACAGAATCCCTTCAATGTGAAAGTAGGCCATTTGGCCCATCGAGTCACACCACCCCTCTGAAGAGCATCACACCCAGACCCACCTCCTTACCCTGTCTCTCTAATCCTAGATTTTCCATGGCTAATCCATCTAGTCTGCAATATCCCTGGACAGTATGGACAATCAAGTATGGCTAGTTCATCTAACCTGCACATCTTTGGACTGTGGGAGGAAACCGGAGCACCTGCCACAAACCCACGCAGACACGGGGAGAATGTACAAACTCCACACACAGTCACCTGAGGCTGGAATTGAACCCGGTCCCAGACGCCGTCAGGTAGCAGCACTAACCACTGAACCACTCTGCCTGCCATTGTTACCAATGACAGTCAGTTGGTGCCAACAAGTTAATGGTGCACTCTTCTGCTGCACATAACAAGCTTAGTCTGTTAAATAAAAATTAGGAGCGAGGGGGGGAAATCACATTTCACACAGGAATTCAGCTCATGTGGGTATTTTGAAGGAGGGAGATGAATTGTGCTTCAAGAACCTTAAACCATCCGTAAAAATGGAAAAACTAATTTACTGTGATCACCTAACTGCAAGTGGTCATGTGATCAGAACTCAGCAGCATTAAAAGTGGCAGCTTGTATTGGGTACAAGTTTGTTTGATAAGTACAAAATGATGGCAAACATAATTTGTAGATAGGCGTGTCTGTGAGCAACTGATGGAGACTGAGCCTCACGTGACAGCACTTCAGTGGCTGTCGAGGTGAACAATGCGTGCGCAGGATCCATTGCTTGTTGTGGCCAGCAAGACCCAGAGTGGGACTTGAACCGGTGAAGTGACAAGGCATCAAAGCAGCATTTATTGCCCATCCCTAATCGCCCAGAGGGCAGTTAAGAGTTAAACAAGTTGCTGTGGGTCTGGAGTCACACGTAGACCAGACCAGGTAAGGATGGTGATTTCCTTCTCTAAAAGGACACAAGTGACCCGATGCATTTTTCTGACAAGCGTGAATGTTTTCATGGTCATCAGTAGACTCTTCGTTCCAGATTTTTACTGACCATATGCTGTGGCAGGAGTTGAACCCAGTTTCCCAGAATGTTACCAGTCCAGTGACAATACCTCTGGGCCTTCATCTCCCCTACATATGGCAGTGAACCTCTCCCAAGCTAACACCGCTCTGCACTTGTGAACCATTTTCTTACATGTTCTACCCTGAAGGACACCCTTCACAAAAGCGCACACACACTGGAAAGACAAACTACTCACTGCTTTGTTTTGCCTTGAAAAGCTGCCAGTGGTCAAAACTAATACAACACAGACTTGTGCGTTATCCCTCATCGAAGTTACTCCAGTAGACACCGAGTTAGGCTAGCTTTACGAGACAGCGTGTGCACTGATAAAAGAAGCACACGCAATTGAGGAGAGAGAGAGAGTCGGGACACACTGATTGGACAGTCAGAAAGTTGCCATCAGCAGTTCTCATTGAATTACAGCAGAGTTGCACTTTGTCAGACACTGATTAGACTGTTGGTGCTGATACCCACTGCAATTGCCTGTGTGATATATGTGACCAGCACAGCTGTTCATTCACCCTGGAAATCTAGAACTGAGCCAATGTTCAAAAGTAGCACACATTTATATAATGCTCATAATGATTCACAGGTACTTTACTGGACAAAATATGCCACTAAGCTACACAAGGAGATAATAAGACAGCTCCAAAAACTAAGTCAAAGAGCTAGGTTTTCACAAGCGTTTTAAAGGAGGAAAATGAGGTAGACGGGCCGAGCGGTTTCAGACGGGAATTCGAGACCATAGGGCCAAATCACCTGAAAGCATGGCTTCCAACAGCCATACTATTAAATATCAGTAAAAGGCTGGATTTGGAGGAGCCTACAGGTTTCAGGAGGGTCATGAGGCTCCTGGAGATTACAGAGATGAGAAAGGACAAGGTCACCGAATCAGTGTACATCAGTGACCACATGAGCAATGGACAAAAGGGCACCGTGTCAGACAGAATTTGGGCAGTAAAGTTTTGGATAAGCACAAATTTGTTAATTATTTTCCGAGCTCAGGAGCTGTTAAATGAACTGTGATGAACTTTGTCTTAATTTTACTTGTTTTTTTATTACGTAGAAGTCATTTTTGTAGGCGCTGTGGTAGGGCGACTTATCAAATTTTTCGCTGTATTTTTCACATAAAAGTATGTGACAATAAATTTCTATTCAATTCTGTTGCAGGATGGCTCACTGAGAATAGCCGTTTTTCACTTTAGTTCCTATTTTGGTTCAATTTCTGTAGAAACTTTAATCGATAGTATTTTCTAAAGATGCCTTAGCAAAAAAAAAAATGGCTGTTCTTAAAAACTTGCTTAAATAAAAATTGTCCCCAAATATTAGCCTGGAAATACCTGCTTATAATTTTAAAATAGATTTTAAACAATCTTAATTACCACAATAATATAAACGTGAAAACAAAAGATGCAAAAGATTAGGATAGAAAGAGGACAGTCCTGGTATTTGCACAAGATAATCTTGTGCATTTAAATGTTTTGCCTGCATTCTGGGGCCTAAATGAGACAGCAACACAAAATGGGAGCAATTTGAACCTTGCTAGTAGATTAAAACTGCCAATATCAGTTCAGTCATGATTATATTTCTCCTCTGGTTGGAATGAAATTCAAGAAAGGGATATAATGTACTGTTAATTCTGAATCAATGCAACTCCCAGTGTCATGGAGTGGTCTCATCCACAAAGATGATTGGAATGTTCAAGCAAAGGGAATTAGACGCAAACCCCATTTATGAGCTCTCCTGTCCATCGCAACCAGCAAAAACAGAAAACCTGCAATGTGACATACAGGAGTATTTTCGACTGCATCTAAATTCTGCCCTCCGCTGAAGAATTCGGCCTGTGGGAACGAGCAGACCCTACTGTAAGGGACCACCTGCTGCACTTAACTAAGTATGGCAGCTGCAAAAGGGAAGAAAATCAAAATGCCTCATCACTTGTCAAACAGCAAAGCAGACTCAGAAAACTGACACCCAGCTGGTAATGGACAGATATAGATCCAACATCTGTGTACGCAATTGACTCCAGAGACTAAACTGAAGTACTATGAACAGCTCGAACATGTGTAAAACGAAAAAAAAAACTATCCAGTTAAGGATTTGCAACCTGCCGAGCTACTTGTTACTGCATGCAGGAGAGGTCCCTGAGAGCAGCGAACTTGACCACTGCTTAAAAAGACAAAACAGTTCCAGTGACATTTTTTCAAAGCCTTGCTGAGTATATAAACAGCCTTGCACTCTTGTTAATTAATTGAGAAGGCTATTGCCTGAACTGTTGAGTAGATCAAATGTCAATGAGAAATTGGGCCTACACAACCCTTCTCTCCCAAAACCCTTAATCACTGATTAGGTGGCCACCCGGTGAACAAGTAAGAGAAGATTTCATTGTAAAAGGCTGTTGTTCTCCTATATGCAATCACACATTTTGGACTCGTGCCAAACCATTAAAAGGATGTGTTGCTATTGGAAACAGCTTGGGCTTTGCCAGTATCAGACCAGCAATGAGCTATTTAATTATCCAGCCACTCTCTATTACTGTCAAGATAATTGAAGATGGCAGAAAATCAATCCAAGCAGCCAACTTTGAGGGATGCCAGTGTGTATAATTTTTAAGAAACGGACATAAAAAAAGCACAAACAGCGAGAGCGCAAGGTGTGTGGGACAACTCATTTGCATAGCTTTCTAATACACACTGTAGGAAATATGTAGAATCCCTACAGTGCTGAAAGAGGCCAGTTTAGTCCATTGAGTCTGCACCATCCCTCCAAAGAATATCCCACCCAGACCTACCCCACCACTCTATCCCCATAACCCCATATTTCCCATGGCTAATCCACCTAACCTGCACATCCCTGGACACCATGTGACAATTTAGCATGGTTAATCCACCTATCCTGCGCATTTTCTCCCTTATGTCTGCGTGGGTTTCCTCCGGGTGCTCTGGTTTCCTCCCACAGTCCAAAAATGTGCAGGTTAGGTGGGTTGGCTGTGCTAAATTGCCCGTAGTGTCCAGGGGTGTGTACGTTAAGTGGATTAGACATGGGAAATGCAGAGTTACAGGGAAAGGGTAGGGGCATGGGTCTGGGTGGGATGCTCTTTGGAGGGTTGGTGTGGACTCGTGGGGGCGAATGGCCTGTTTCCACACTGTAGGGATTCTACGACAGCTGCCTGAGGGTGGAATCGAACCAGGGTCCCTGGTGCTGAGAGGCAGCAGTGCTAACAGCAAGATTTTCTTCAAAAGACTGCATGAACATAAGATCACACAAGGCAACAGTGGAAACAGATGCCTTTACAGTTCCTTGCCGGAGGTATGCGGGAGATTGACAATGGAGGTTATTAGATGTTTTAAGAACTGGTCTGGTGGACCAGTCAGTTGTGTTTTCATATGATGCTACATTACTACCACATCCTAAAACTACTTTGCTATCAGTGTGACACCCATCTGACGTTTCCAAAATAACTGTCAACTAAGGACAGCATCTTTTTTTGGTGCATACAGTCACCACTGGTTCCATACAAGCAAGTTTCTCTTACACTTTGGTTGAACATGTCAGTCTCATGGCGAAGCTGTGTGTACTGACAGAGGTGCTGCCGAATCATTTCAATCCTTTCAACCTCCAGCCTCTCGAGCTCCTGCAAAGGTAAAAATGAGCAGAGTTATTAACCATACACGGTGCCTTAATTCTTGCAAACTTCTGATAACTTAATCAAATTTAACATCCATTTAAGCAAGAGGTTGGACACAAAGCTTTGAAACCCCTTGGCTAAATTTAAGTGATGCTATATGTTCTGTCCTTTGCGCTTTGGAAACTTGTGCCATAATCCAGCAAAAAACCAAGTAGCCACTTCTAACAAAAATAGGCCTATTAAAAACTTCAATTCCAGAGTTAGTCAGCAGTTGGTAAAAAGGTTATCATGCAGAACCTACAACGCACAGACTGTTTAGCCCAACTGCACTGTATCAGTGTTTTCATGTTCTACACGAACCACTTCTCAGCCTCTCTCATCTCAAAGCGCTACTATTCCTTAGTCCCTCAGGTAATTATTGAGCTTTCCCCTTTAAAGCATCTATGCTATTCACATCAACTGCGCTCTATTGTATCAAGATTCCTATTCCAATTTCTGGGATCTCAGATTAAAAAGTGGTATTTTTAAAATTCTCTCTTGGGACGTGGGCATCACTGGCTAGGCCAAGCTTTTTTTTGCCCTTCCCCTTGTGAAGGTGTTGGCAAGCTACCTTCTTGAACTGTTGCAGTCCATCTCGTATAGGCAGACTCACAATGCCATTAATGAGGGAATTCCAGGTTTTTGACCCTCTTACACTGAAGAAGTAATGATACATTTCCATCTCAGGGTGGCGAATGGCTTGGAGGCATTCTTGTAGTTGGTGGAATACTTGCAGTCTGTGGTATCCACTGCCCTGCTTTCTAACTGGTAGAGGTCACAGGCTGGAGGAGTCATGGTAAGCTGCTGCAGTATATCTTATAGATGGTACACACAGTTTTCATTGTGCAACGTTGATGGAGAGTGTGGATGTTGAAGGTGACAATCCATTGGGCTGCTTTGTCCTGAATGGTGTTAAGCTTCTTGAATATTATTGAAGCTGCACTCATCCAGGCCAGAGGGAGTATTCTGTCACTCTTTGGACGCGTGATGAGATGATGGACAGGCTTCAGGAAGTCAGTATGCAAATAACTCACTACAAAATTCCTAGCCTCTGATTTTCTCTGTAGTCACAATATGTATTTATGGCTAGTCCAGTTAAACTTGCGGTCAATAGTAATGCCAAAGACATTGATCGTGATGCTAATGCGATTGAAACTGAATATCATGGGGTGATGGTTAGATTCTGTCTTACTGGAGCTTGTCATTTTCTCTCACTTGTGTGGCACAAATGTTACTTGCCACTGTTATCAGCCCAAGCCTGGATATTGTCCAGGTCTTGCTGCACTTGGACATGGACTACTTCATCTGGGAAGTCACAAATGGTGCTGAACATTGTGCAGTCATTACCAGATGTGACCTAAAGAAGCAAAGACAAAAGGTCATTGATGAAGCAGCTAAAGATAGTTGGGCTTAGGACACACATTGGAGCTAGTACTGGACCTTGGGAAGCGTATAGGCTGGTGGTGGACTGGATAATACTACCAATTAGTTTTGCACTCCAAGTGACTCTCAACCCTTGCAAATGGTGCGGACAGTTTTCATTGTATCATTGATGGAGGGAGTGGATGTTGAATGTGACTATCGAGTGGGCTTGCATTATACTGAATGCTGTCGAATTAACCCATGAGATCTTTGTCCCCTATATTGTTGTACCTGTATGTGACGACCTATGCCATGACATTTCATGTTTATTTATTTAGGAATTACTCAAGAGAATTCATGGTAGGTGGGTGGACCCAGGGAAGTCACCTGTTGATCATTTCTCCTTGTGAGAAAACATCAAAGTAGGAGACAGAGGGTGATGGTAGAGGATTATTTTTTGGACTGGAGGTCTCTGACCAGCAGTGCACCACAAGGATCAATGAATGCTGGGTCCATTGCTTTTCATCATTTATATAAATGATTAGGATATGAATATAGGAGGTATGGTTAGTGAGTTTTCAGATGACATGGTGGGACCTTCATCAAATGGGCCAATGGCCGAGGAGTGGCAGGTAGAGTTTAATTTAGATAAATGCGAGGTGTTGCATTTTGGTAAGGCAAACCAGGACAGAACTTAACAGTAAATGATACGATCCTGGGGTGCATGGCTGAACAAAGAGACCTGGGGTGCAGGGGCACAGTTCCTGGAAAGTGGATTCGTAGGTAGACAGGATGGTGAAGATGGCATTTGACACGCTTGCCTTCAGTCAGAACATTGAGTATAGGGGTTGGGACGTCACGTTGCAGCCGTACAGGCCACTTTTAGAATACGGTGTATAATTCTGGTCACCCTTCTATAGGAAGGATGTTGGTAAATGCAAGAGGGTGCAGAAAAGACTTATAAGCATATTGCTGGGACTGAAGGGTTTGAGTTATACAGAGACGCTGAATAGGCTGGGGCATTTTTCCCCCGGAACATCAGAGGCTGACAGGTGACCTTACACAGGTTTATAAGATCAGGAGAGGCATTGATAGGGTGAATAGCCAAGGTTATTTTCCTAGGGTGAGTGAGTCCAAAACTAAAAAATATAGGTTTAAGGTGAGAGGGGCAAGATTTAAAAAGGATCAGAAGGGTAACTTCTTCACAGAGGGTGGTGTGTGAATGAAACGAGCTGTCAGAGGAAGTGGAGGAGGCTGGTACAATAACAAAACGTAGGTACATGAACAGTAAGGGTTTAGAGGGATATGGACCAAATGGGACTAGGTCAGATTGGGATGTCTGGTCAGCACAGAGGAGTTGGACCAAAGGGTCTGTTTCCATGCTGTATGACTCTAATTACCCAAGTGCTACAGCCGTCGTTGACTTGGAGGATGGATAGAGGATTGGCAGGTGAGGACGGGGATACTGGTGGTGATCGCAGATCTGAAACCCATTTCATTGTTGTAGCTGTCAGATTTTGCTAATCTTGAGCTGAAGAATGAGCAAGTAAAAGCAGGGCTGTGGGATAATCACAGCCTCAGTCTCCGTGCCTTTTTCACTGCTGCTGTTGATCCAAATCAATGATTTACTGACATCCCAGTGACAGTGGGGTGAATTTCTCATTTTGACACAAAAACATGGTAGGATCTGGCTGGTTGCTTGATTTAAAAAGTCGATTGAAGTCTCGGGAGACTAAAGATTGACTGACGATTAAACTAAAAGGACCAGCCCATTCTCATTATTCTCCTGCCAAACAAGTAACCACAACCCATGCAGTTTACACCCAATAAATTTCCAAATACCCACTCGTAAAACAGAGGAATCAGTTCAAAACTGACACTTATTTCATGGCACTTTGTCAGCAAATACCTCCCAAAACCTGGCATAACCTTGACAAATTGATGAATCTTTTGAGGGGAAATAAAATGACACATTCATAAAACAATCTGTTCCCATAGCTAGAAATAACTAGCAGATTCTACCAGACACAAAGCCATTTTTCACACTGTGGCAGAACAGCACTGATACTGAAAGGCCCCTTCTCTAGAACATCCCCTTGTTTAAAACACAGCACGTCAGTGCAAAAATGGTAAACACGGGTTGAATTTATTACTGGTGTAGTATTTTCCAGCTACTGCAGGATCTGCTTTGTGAGCTCACCACTTTCCTTACAGGAAACAGATGTGAAAGACACCGTTAGCTGCTCTCCTGAATGTGACAAAACAGGAACTGCCGAAGAACAGTTTAGTTTAATACAACATGAGTTTGTGTTCTGAAGTTCATGGATTTACAGACAATGAATCAATCTGGATCACCAAATATTTGTGATTCATGGGTGGGAAGGAGACAGCCCAAGCTGGACAGAGCAGAGAAAGTTGGTCATAATTACAGAGAAATGTTGCGCAGTTCCATCATCCACAGTGGTATGTCATAACATGTGCAAACACATTGATTAACAAAATACGTTTGAGGGGTTTTATGGTCACTACCCTTGGGCCCAAGGGTCCAGGTACAAGTTCCACCTTCCTCAGATGGATGTCATACATGTCTGAACAGGTTCATTAAAAAATAATTTACTATTGGATCCATGCATGATGTTATAAGTAAGGCAGAAATACAGTCATGCAGCAAAACGCACATTCTCTGAATGCCTCAACTAAAGTTGAAGTAGTACATCTTGAAATCGTGTCATCGTTACCATAGAAGGGACACAGCAACCAGCTTCTGCAATATCATTTATGAGTTGGAAGCAGATAATTCTTTTCTTTTAAAAGTGATCGTGGTTGAATAAAGAACGTCCTTGCTCCTCTTCCGAATAGTGCATGGGACCTTCCGCGTCAGTTCAAGAGGCCAGACCGGACCTTACTTTAACTTGTCCTAAAAGGTAAAGGTAAAGTTGCCATTGTCCCAGAGAACCATAGGGTTGCTCTCTCCTTAGAGCGAGATGATTGATGGTGGTTTAACCAGAGGGTCATCACATCTCAAGCAAAGGGAGTTGAGAAGGAGAGGTCTTCACAATAACGGCAGTCGATTCAGGAAACACACACTGTAGGCATTACTGTATATCGCATCCAGCTGACCAGCCAACTGAGTCAACCGACCCCCAGCAAAGCAGCACTCCGAGTGCAACACTCATTGATTCAAATAGGAAATCCTGTTGATCTCAACTGTTCATGTTTTTGGTTGGCAGTTTTACGAATTCTCAGAGAAGTATATTCAGTAAAGGATGTTGCTCAGTGACTCAATAAATAACACATCATCTGATTAAATACCGTGAGTCACAGGTTCAAAATGAAGGAGTCAAGAATGATAAAGGAAGTCAATGGGAATCTGTCATCCAAAGTGCAACAGAACTCTGCTGTAAATTGCCTCAAAGGCCATGAACTGAAGCTCATAGTAACATGGGTTGAAGAGCCATTTGGTACTTCTGGTCAAGGTGATTGATGGTAAAAATCACACCAGGTAAGAAGTGAAAACCTTGGAAAATTAATTTGCTTCACTGTTATTTAGTAGCAACTCAACAAGATCATTATCTGAAACTTGTTTATTATTATCTGTACATAAATTAACATTTATTTGGATGACCTTGGGGAATGAGACTCTAATCTATAGAGTATTTTCTCAGTGGAGAGTCAACACTAGGCTGGATTTTTCATGAGCCAGGGCAGGAATGTTTCGTCTCCTTCTAAGCAAATCCCTAACCATTTCAACTGTTTGTCACAACAAGGAAACATGTCCCCTGGAGAGGTTTATGGCTGTTACTCACCAGAGTTGTTGTGACCATCTCCTCAAACCATTTTGATTGGGTTTGATTGTAGAGATCTACACAGCGGGTCAGGTCATCACCTACAATGAGAGATAGCATGTCATAAAATTTGGTTATATAAACAATGTTTCCTAACTCCAGAGTGGCAGAGTACTTTGTGACAGCGAAACAATATTAACAAATAACCAGCTCTGTTTTAATCACTTGGACCCATTTACACATTAGTATGTACACGTGCACTATTCCAGATTAGATATTGGTTGAGATTTTGCTCAGTACCAACTGCATGCAGTGCACTGAAACAGCAAAACATCCCAGAGAGTTACAAACCCTAATCCAAACCAGATTCAAAACATTAACTCATTCTCTCTTCACTGATGGTCTGAGACCTGCTGAGTTTCTCCAGCATTTTCTGCTTCCAAGGAATTTAAGGATTATCATTGAGCAAAATGTGACACCAATACACAAGGATGAATTAGGAGAGATACTTGGTCAAAGAGGTAGGTTTTATACAGTGTCTTAAAGGAGGTGAGAGAACTGGAGACGCAGAGGTTTGGAGAAGGGGACCCATTCCTTAGGGCTGAGGCAGTGAAAGTCAAAGCTGCCAACAGTGGAGTGTTTAGAATTGGAGAAGCACATAAAATTTCTAATGACCGTGGACGTGGTGAAAATTACAGTGATAGGGTGGAGCAAGGCCATGGGAAGATTTGAAAGTAAGAGTAAGAATTTTGATAGAGATGTTCCTTAACCAACGTAGGTGGTCTCGTACAAATGCAAAAATATAACATTTATTATAATCGGAACATGTGCACTGGTTGAGATTCTAACACATTTCCCACAAGGTGGCAGTGTTAGGACATAGAGGTATAGAACTTGGGAGCATGGGGAGGCCATTTGGCCCTTCAAGCCTGCCTTGCCATTGAATAATATCTTGGCTAATCTGGTTATGATCTCAAAATGTACAATCATTCAACTTATCCATATCCATTTTTAGACCACCCCACCAACCTCCGGATCCAACGCATCATCCTCCGACACTTCCGCCATCTGCAATCCGACCCCACCACCAAAGACTTCTTTCCCTCCCCACCTTTATCTGCTTTCCGGAGGGACAACTCTCTCCGTGACTCCCTTGTCCGCTCCACACTCCCCTCCAGCTCCACCACACCCGGCACTTTTCCCTGCAACCGCAGGAAGTGCTACACCTGCCCCCATACCTCCTCCCTCACCCCCATCCCAGGCCCCAAGAAGACTTTCCACATCAAGCAGATGTTCACCTGCACATCTGCCAATGTGGTATACTGCATCCGCTGTACCCGGTGTGGCT